ACAGGCGACACAGTTTAACACATTCTAACTTATTACGGATTTACATTGCTTACGGATAGTGCTTTGTCTGTGTTATAAATACCTCTAGGTATTAAAGTAAGTATATATTTTACTTTTATTTATTTCATAGGTAATTGAAATATTAAGACATGTACTATTCGGTTTTACACGCTGAAGTTTCCGGAGAGTCAAACCAACAATAGTCAAAAGATTACCAATTTTTTTTTCAATTACCTTTCCGATTCCATAATTGTATTTAAAGTTTGGAACGCAAATCATTTGCATTGGAAAGTGCACTAGAATTTCGCATTCCGACGTGCTTAGTTAGCAAGGTGCATTAACACAATCTTTGGTCACGGATCAGATACCATATAACATAAATGAACAATAATACTCTTAGTAAGTTCAGTTGCAAACGTAGTTCAAGAGATATTGGACAATAGATAAGTTTTCATTTCACGATTCGATGGTTCCGATGGAGAAAGCATCAAAACGTGCCAGTGGTTTTTTTGTTTGTTTATGTAGGCACGTGATGCGGATGCTATGTTTTAAAATGTAGTTTGTAAACTGTAATGTTCATGTGTAATCCAATAAGAAAATCGCTGCAATCCATAGCCTCTTAAAAATCCAGCGAGACCGATTAAAATTAGCTAAGTGATGACGCATGTATTATGATGTGGCCATATTAATATTATCTAGACTCAGGAAATCCTTTGCAGTCGGCAGTAATGTGATGTTAACATAATAATATCCAATTTTATATTTCCACCGATAGAATACGCAATTAAAAAAAAATACACGTTTATAACATTAAATAAAGGTCAGATTTTTAATTGCTCCTGCAGCTTTTAGAAGTGACCAAATACGAAAGTTCAACTAAACAATTATTTTGCGGAACTAACCGCTACACATGGTTTAACAGAATTTTTTAATTACAACTGTGAAGTCTAAATAGTTTTACGTCTGTGGTTTCGCCTGTGTTTTTTAAGGCGCAGCTAAGCACAATTTGCATATGCACAGAAAAATGTACATACGCATCTAATCTTCATTTAGAATTAAAATCTGCATTCGTTTGTGAGTCAGGGTAGTGTACCACCCGATCGGTCGCGTTTCCGATCCGGTGGTAGATTCTGCGAAGCACTGCTCTTGCTAGGGTAATTATAATTAGTTATTAATTAATTATTAATTATTTAATTAATTTATATATTAGCTCACCTACACGCTAGGGTAACGCTGATATAGCCTCTCAAGGCTATCTGCATAGGTAGGGAAAAAAAAAGCGTGGGGTTTCATTGAGTTCAACGAAATTAGTGATTTCATTTAAAAAAACCTGATTTACATCTTAAACTAGCTGACCCGGCAGACTTCGTAGTGCCTCAATCGATAAATAAAAGACACATCAAGGGGACACATCAAAGGAAAAACAAAATTGTTTTTGTTTTTATATAATTCCGAGCTTTTTCATATTTTTTCACTTTTTAAACCTTCCCTGGACTTCCACGAATAATTCAAGACCAAAATTAGCCAAATCGGTCCAGCCGTTCTCGAGTTTTAGCGAGACTAACGAACAGAAATTCATTTTTATATATAGAGATTGTTTTTCAACCACAGATTTGATAAAACCTGAATAACTGTAACATTTTTTGTTCGTTGTCGTTTTCGGTATTGGCATATTTAATGCGGTTGGACGCCACGGATTTTTAAATGAGTATTTAACTATTCTTCTATTGTTCATTGAAAAAAACCTATGCTTAATAATTTTTGGAATTATTTTTCTTCTACCCAAATTGTAAGTGTTATATGAGCATTTTCGTCCGGTGTTATTGCATTGTTAGCTTAATTAAATAAATATAAAAAAATTATTAAATTCTATCCGTATTTTAATTTTAAATATTTATAAAATTTGAAACAATGACGTAGGTTATATTATAGTACCTACGCTCTTTTTATTTTTCAAAATTAGAAATATCAAAGATGTCCGGGAAAAACACTGTAAACAAAACTATAAATCATTTAGCGATTAGCCTCATCATTTTCCCATATGAGATAGCAGGTTTCGCCTGATTATCAAGAAAGGACTCTGAAATAGAACTGGTACGATTTGAACTATTTATGAATATTTAAATGTTGCTAATAGTGCGTCGAGGGACTTTTCCAAAAACCGATTTCACTGTAACAAATATGGACTTCGTCTCCGAGGCGGCGACAACAAAAACTATGTAGTGCTTGGACATATGATACTTTTAATTTGTCTGAAAACTCAATTTGTAGACCACTGTAGGAACAATCCTTCAAGAATGAGAACAATGTATGTAACTACCAAGGCTCTAAAACCCTAACACCATTGTAAAACTTATGCTGCGTTGCTTCGAAATGTGGAGTAGAAGTTAGGAGATGACCCTTGAGGGCTTAAGGGTCAAAGTGTGGGCCCTGAAGTAACACATTAAGGACGTTGCGCAATCGACTTTTTCACCTATAATCATAAAAATAGTTACAGCAATCCATCGACTTTCGCGCGTTAATTACGATAAAGTTAAATAAATACCATTGGGACAGGCCTGGGTTACGCGACACATTGCAATGTTTTTATCTCACACATGTACGTCGCAGTGTTCCGTTGACCCACTTAAATCGGTCACATAATCGACAGTTTTATGGATGTGTTGAATTACTGTTGTTCGACTCGTTTTTTTACCATTTAAAGTTTGTCATTTTAATTGTCGATGGTCGTCGCGTCGTGATGGCGGTAACGACAATTTTGATTTGCACACTTAATTAATATTTCGTAATAACGGAAAAGAATATAATTTTATTTTTAAAATACAAAATTAAATGGTTTCGAATTTTGCTTTTCATTGAAATAACTGATGGAACTTATGATTTTATCGATTCACTGGTAGAAGAACGCGCTTTAGTCGGCTTAGTAGGTAAAAAGATACAGCTTTCCTGTCTATTTCTGCCGTAGACCGCGTCCAAATCAATCAGGAATAATAGCATTAAACTTTGTGTCAAATTTGACCGGGGTAGACATGAACTACACGAACTGGACGACAGAACTATTCTACATGTTTCAATTTTCACTCTGGGACTTCGGTTCCCTCTGTATTTTGTACCGCATGTTCCATGGGGAGTGCTCTGAGGAATTGTTCGAGATGACACCAACGTCTCGTTTTTACCATCGCACCGCCCGCCACCGGAGTAGACTTCATCCATACTACCTGGAGCCACTGCGGTCATCCATAGTGCGTTTCCAGAGGTCTTTTTTGCCACGTACCATCCGGCTATGGAATGAGCTCCCGTCCACGGTGTTTCCCGAGCGCTATGACATGTCCTTCTTCAAACGAGGCTTGTGGAGAGTATTAAGCAGTAGGCAGCGGCTTGGCTCTGCTCCTGGCATTGCTGAAGTCCATGGGCGACGGTAACCACTTACCATCAGGTGGGCCGTACACTCGTCTGCCTAAAAAGGCAATAAAAAAATAATACTGTATATCAGACGCAGAACGTCCAACCATAAACACACATATTCCGATTTATTTCTGGTCTTTGCGATCCGTCACGCGTTTACATGACAATCCTTTATAAAACAACATACGTATTTCTAGTTCTTAAGATTAGACTCATTTTTCATTGCCATATCGAACTCTTACTTCAAGGCGATTTTCATCCACGGAATTAGGTAATCCCTGAATGACACATAGACGCTGCTCAATAACCTTGGTACAGTAAAATTGTTGCCCTAGACACGTCCTTACGGATCCATCAAATCCAATAACCTTTGCACTAGACGCCTTCAGCTCTAACACTAGGATCAGGCTTAGGGAGCCCGGTAACCGTACTAACTCATGCATCAGCCCGCTGAGTTTCTCGCCGGATCTTCTCATCGGGTCGCCATTCCAATCCGGTAGTAGATTCATTCGCGAAGCAGCTGCTCTCAAGTTTTTAGGTTTCCTTCGGAGGCGCTCGGGCAGCTGTTAGCAAATCCCACCCCTCCTAGCTGAACCTTTGCTCGCCCACCTGTCCTGGTGAAACTGGAAAGACCTCCGGGCCAGCAGGAACCCTTCAATCCTAAAAAATAAAATAAAATTGTTCTAAAAGTGGCAGCAGAAGCTGAATACCCGAAGTTGCATACTTAAAGCATATAAGGGACCTATTACATAATATTCTCTGGCCACAAATTACACACTTAATACAGTACACCGGCTATGTGTGTTGCACTAATTTAATACAACAGCTGGTCGTTATATAACCGCCCTGCGTACCGCGTCGCCGTTTTGGAGAAATTACTTCTTTTATGTAACACCGGTCGACATTTTACTGACAGTGCATTGAACAGATTATTTAAAATATTGATTAATGGGTCAGACGCATACGAAATCCGAATACGCACGGCGGTGTTTTTAATACGCTTCTGTTATAGTATTTTCTTTAGTTTTCGTAGTTGTAGATTCGTAGTAAATTAAAAAAAATCGAGTTTAAATCGTAAAAGTGGTTTTAATATCTATTAAAGGCGACCATCCAACGTAATTGTCACGAACTTCTAGACGTCCGATTAACTAGAAAATTTGCACACGCATCGTTGACGATACAGTTATCATATACTCGTAACTCTTGCTAAATGTCTATAATTTTCAGGACCTCAAAAAAAAAAGAATATTTGAATTTTTAGTTTAGTCTTGCTTATTCCATAGATGGTATATAAGATTCTAGTGACAGACTAATTAACATCAAAAAAATTATAGATTATTCTACAGGGCAAGGTACTACCATCCTGCCTATTTCTGCCACGAACGTCCCGGCTTGAAGGATAGGATATTCGGATACCAAACGCGCAATTAAGACCTCAATCTGGGATGTGAAGGAACGCTCCTTCCAGCGGCATTCACGTTGTTATGTTTATGCGCATCGGTGACCACTTAAGACCAGTTGCCCTAAGAGCTCGCTCACCCATTTATGTAGTAAATAAAAATATCCGTAAAATAAATGCATTCTAATTGTTCCAGGTGGAGTTTTCTCTTAGCACTTTTGCTGGTCGGAGTGGCGATGGCTTCGGATGAAGAAGACAGTATACCTGACGTGGGAGTGGAGGAAGACAGCGATGAACTGGCTCTGGATCAGGAGGTAAGGAATGGGCAATTTCCTATATTCATACATTTTGTGTAATAAAAATTAAACCCGAATTTTTTTATTTGCTTAATTACTGGTGATGGGACGTCTTGTGAGTCCGCACGGGTAGGTACCACCACCCTGCCTATTTCTGTCGTGAAGCAGTAATGCGTTTCGGTTTGAAGGGTGGGGCAACCGTTGTACTGTTACAACTGAGACTTTAGAACTCATATCTCAAGGTGAGTGGCGGCATTTACGTTGTAGATGTCTATGGGCTCCGGTAACCAGTTAACACCAGGTGGGCTGAGAACTCGTCCACCCAAATAAGCAATAAAAAAAACTTCAGAGGTGTCAAGGGACACCCGGATGGAACGAAGTTCCTTTCGATTAATTGGTGAAGGAATTGTAATTTTTTTTTTAAGCCATAATAATAAATTACGGCATTATGAAGAAGAAAACAACAATACTATGAACTAAATTACTATTGTTGAAACGCTATCTCGAGAAACTGTACTCATTAGGCGGACCAATCGGCTACGAGCAATGTCACGCGATAAGCGCCTACACGTTGATTGGTCAGAATGACGGATCTAAAAAGTGTCGTGACAACTTTTCGTAAGAATTTTTTCCGTCTAGCCCCCTTTCACAACGCGCGATAAGGAACTTCGTTCCAAAAATTAAAAAAACGAAGTCAAGCATTTGTCATTTGTTGCCGGGTACTGTAATAGCATACTAGATAGCACATAGGGCATAACAGGACGATTGATATACTATAGATGGCGCGCGAACAATTTCGGGGATCACCAGTAGGTATTAAATATAGTAAAAAAGTCCCTGAACAAACTTACTGTGCCAGTCAACATCAATTAGTAAATATATTAGACTTCAAGAACATTTATCTTAGATATCTTGTGCCTATACATCCGACCCGTTTCAGATATCTATAGGGCATCAATTACTCGATTCTAACAATCCATTCGGTTTGTTGCTACGCTATCCGGTAATTAGTCTTCGAACGAACGATATTATCATTCGATCACCGCTTTCCTGTTTTACTATTTATACTAAAATAAATAAAGTGTGACAGCATTTGACATTTGTAGTATAATTAATAATAATAATAATATAATAAATAATAACTCGTAAATGCCATGGTTAACATTTTTTGTTTAAGGTACTTTTTGATCTAAGATACACTCCATTTTTTTTATTCATGTTAGCTAAGATTTAAAAAATTCAATGACTTATCGTAAGATAATGGTAATTGACAACAGATGACCCAATTAAATTACATACGCTTTATATTTCATCGAACCAATAAACAAATACGAATAAAAATACATATCATTCAGTATATTTTAGTAGTTTAGTAGTATTATTAGCCTTCGCTATTATTATCCTTATGTCTTCAGTACTCTTATATTAATAAGAGAGAAATCATCGCATTTATCGGATGTGTTTACTTCAGTGTTCAATGACAATCGTAATAACATACAACAATAAGTATCAGTCGCGCGTCGGAGCAGATACGCACAATTTTTTTTATTGCTATTCTAGGGACGACGAGCTCACGTCTATAGCCTAAAATGTAAATGCCATTTGATCCACCTTGACATATGAACTAAATTTTTTATATACTTCAATACTTTTCAATACTTTTTTTTATGTTTGAGAAGTTACTGGTGGCCCGGAGGCCTTTCCAGTTTTACCAGGGCAAGTGGGTGAGCAAAGGCTCAGCCAGGAGGGGTGGGATTTGCTAACAGCTACCTGAGCGCCTCCAAAGGAGACCTAACGACTCCAGAGTAGCTGTTTCGCGAATTAATCTACTACCGGATCGGAATCGCGACCCGCTGAGAAGATCCGACGAGAAACTCAGCGAGCTGATGTTTAGGTTAGGTTGCACGTCGAACTCTTTGCCGAGTTCGACGAGTAAAGTTACCGGGGTTCCCACTCCTAGTGTTAGAGCTAAAGGTGTCTAATGCAAGGGTTATTGGATCTGATGCATCCGTAAGGACGTGTCTCAATACTATTGACCAAATCCTAAAAGTTCTTCATAACTGTTGTTTAGCGGCAGAAACAGAATGGAGATAGCTACGCGTACGGGCTTACAATAGCTCTTACCGCTAGTATCTCTCGTCTATTTACTTAAAAAACGATAAACATTGACTACATAAATCAAAAAGCATATCCGTGAAATTACAACCCAACATACATGGGTACATTTTAATAACACAAAGTAATGAAAAACAGGTCACATTCTAATGAAAGTGTTTGAGAGTGTGCAATAAAGAAATAAGTTTGAAACGAAAGCAAGGCGGCCGATCGATTTCACGGTAACATTTCAAATATGCCCGGAATATTGACCGAAACAGTGTTGCCAACTCGCTACTACGTGCAATTTTTAAAACGACCCGCTGTGTGAATTTGTCTAACACAAGGCCGCCGGTGCAGTGAAAGTGGAAAGCAAATCACTTTTTATTATTAGCTTTAAGAATTTTATATCGCTCAATAAAAGTAGCGGTAAATTGAATATTTGAATCGAAGGGGATCGCATTTAGAAATTTCAATATTATTTTCATATTGCATTTGATTTTTCAATGATTGAATATTTTAGTTGCATTTAATTACATTGCACCAATTAGACAAATGTTTTTTCTGTGGAATAGCAACTTTTATTTCTCTGTCAAAAAGGACAGACAATCTCAAGGCACCTTTTTTTTATTTATTGCTTAGATGGTTGGACGAGCTTACCGCCCACCCGGTCTTATGTGGTTACTGGAGCCCTCACAGACATCTACCTCCTACTTCTACATATCTATCTATCACCTGATATTAAACGATTACTGGAGTCCTATAGTAGGTATAACGTAAATGCAATAGCCCAACTCGAGACATATGATTGTAGTGTCGTATTTGTTCACCAATACTTAGCTAGTTTAGATAAGTAAGCGGCTTAGCGCACTGTGTGCTTAGTGAGAATTTTTTTAACGTTGTCGATAGCGTAAAAGTTTATTCATATTTCTAGACTCGCAACGTTTGCCTATATTTTCCAATAGGGGCGCTCTTCCAACTCCATAAATTGAGATAACTTTTAAGCTATCGAGAACGTTAAAACACTCGCACTAAGCACCCTGGATAAATAAGAAGTCGCAAACCCGTATTTTTTAATCTACCGCTTATGAAGAATGGTAATGAACGGTTATTGCATATAATATTTACAACTTAGCATGAACCCAAAAACATGAAGTTCCACAGACCACAACTATGTAGGTACTTTTGCGATCTATTTCTCAAAATTATGCGTGTCACAGAAATACGACTGTACAGATATTTGATAGTGCTTAGGAACGTAGACCTGTTTCATTTGGTTAGTCAAACGATTTCAAATGATTCATGAATTATGCCGTCTTTATCGCAATGTGCATATTTGGAATATAGCTCGATACTTTTCAGAGTTGCCTCGCGACTTGAATAAAAACTGTTTTTGGAACGAAGTTCCTTATCGCGCGTTGTGAAAGGGGGCTAGACGGAAAAAATTCTTACGAAAAGTTGTCACGACACTTTTTAGATCCGTCATTCTGACCAATCAACGTGTAGGCGCTTATCGCGTGACATTGCTCGTATCCGATTGGTCCGCGTAATGAGTACAGTTTCTCGAGATAGCGTTTAGTTCATAGTATTGTTTTTTTTCTTCATAATGCCGTAATTTATTATTATAACTTAAAAAAAAAAAATGTGTGCGTGTACTAGTGTACACACGTAAGAAGTGAAACTTGTTTATGGCCTTATTTTTCGAAAAATGATCTACATGCAACTTTCTAGAAATTGGTTAAATAAAGTTAAATTAGATAAAGTTTAAACAAAAGGATTTTATTATCATAGACATGAATACAAAAAAGTTAAATTAGATAAAGTTTAAACAAAAGGATTTTATTATCATAGACATGAATACAAAACAGATGGCGCGTAACGGAAAAAAGTGACGCGTAACCGAAAAATGTGACGGTAAATTTTTTTCCAACGCCGATAAGGAAGTTTCACTTCAAAAATTACAATTCCTTCACTAATTAATCGAAAGGAACTTCGTTCCATCCGGGTGTCCCTTGACATCTGTCTTTTATTTATTTTATTATTCGCTCCACCGAATAGTTTTACTCTAAAGTAGAACAGGAAATCATAGATGAACTAAAGACTTGGAAGCGTAGAACGTTATTTACGGGTATTATACGAATAGCGCCAGCTACTGCGATCAGTTGTTACGCAATCGCGTGAGAAATATGCTAATGTGGCTGTTCGCTCTCGACTCGCACGCGACGTAACTTGCGATAGACAGGAGAGATTACAATAAAAACGGTATTATCGGTAACGCTATATGCCCTTTCTAGGGTTTTAATGTAGGTATTTCAATACAAAAATATTTTCCAACGAATAAAAGTCATTTAAAAAATCTATAAATTAATACGTGAAGCAAAAACTTTGTAGCCTTTTTTACGAAAATTACGCAGTCGAAGAAGTATGATATTTTCCACGCTTATAGTTTATATAGATAAGGAGTGCAGAATGCTAATATTTTTTAAAAATTATGCTTAAGAAACACATTAAATCAATAAGAAAAACATTACACACACTACCATGTATTTGACACACACACACACACACACGTATATCCTCTTTTGTTTATTGTTAAAGTCTGTGGTCTAATTGAGAATATATTAATATTGTTTGTTCATAATCTTATTTGTCTACAGTGTAACCATGGCGAAATTTGTGATTTATGAAAGAATAGTCTTTGACAATAGAACTTTAATAATGTTCAAACTTATAATTGAAATTAATTATGGTCGAATTTCGACCACTGGACGATTACTAGTAAAATTAAATGCTTACGCGTGAAGACAGACGAAAGGAGTTATTGCTATTTGTAGCTTTTTTTTATGATTGAAGGATTACTGGTGACCCGAAGGCCTTTCCAGTTTCACCAGGACAGGTGGGCGAGCAAAGGCTCAGCCAGGAGGGAATTTATCTACTTTTCTTTTGTTTTATTCTTGGTTCACGGTAATGCAGTGTCTCAATTACAAAATGTTTATTCGCAAATTTCCACAAAATTTTATGAATGAATGTCTCCTGATGTTTTTTTTTTATGTAAACCACTTTCTGTTTGTAACTGGTTTTACGAATGCGTTTCGAATAAATAACGAAATAAAACCAAAAGCACTACTATATAACTCTTATATCTTTAAACGACCAATTCTTGTATATAAATATCTGAATCTGAATCTCGGAAACGGCTCCAACGATTTTCATAGAATTTAGTATACAGGGGATTTCAGGGGCGATAAATCGATCTAGCTACGATTTATTTTCAGAAAATGTTGTTTTATTCGTGTTTTCAATAATTAACTTTATCGATTTTATCAATTTTGTTTTTTTCTTTAAATAACCGATAACCGTAAGATCGAAAAATATTATTCATATTTCATCATTTTATCAATATGCAATTAGTATTTAAATATCATTCCTAAAAAACACAATTTATCAAAAAAAAAAAAACGAGCATCTGCTTGTGCTATAAAAGAGAGTAAAAGTGTGTTTATTATAATAGATCGATAAAGAAATCGGAGATGCAATCGAGCAACGGTTAATAAATTATGACAGTCAAAGCTCTAACAAAAACCTCTCACCCGGGTTGCTGACTTGCTGCCAGGGCTGTACTCGGCCATAATTTAAAATTGACAAAAAACGAACAGTATTATTCCGATTTGAATTTTTACAACTATCTTAAATTCGCACGCGTTAGTCTCTCTCATTGAAATAGGAATTATAATTTTGTCGATAAACCTTAACATAATAATAATTGTATAGGTTAAGGAAATAATTAAAATGGCGGATATGCTGTGTGGGCTCACAATACACCAGACAAATTGAAAATTCTTGTTGTACTAAAAAAATTAAAGAATAGGGGCGAATTTAATACTAGGTATACCTAAGGCATAGGCTACCAGATAAACTTTTATTTTCTGCGGAAATAGACAAGCAGTTGGAACGCTCCCGTATTGACTCATAGTTAATTATAATACAATAATTTTAAAACAATTCAAACATAAAAGTACCTATTTAAAAGATTATGACTATTGTGATGTGTATCATCGTTTATTTGTACAAAGCTCGTGTAATACAACAAAATACTCCAACATCTTTCATAATGAAATTAAATTTAAACATCCCTCTAAATCCGCCTCATGCGTGATACAATTTCTACATAACACAATTGATTTTATAAATACATAACTGTCGCGTCGTCTCGCACGATCGCCTGCGAATATCCGACTTGAACTTTTTATGCAATAATTATTAGGTATTTAGTTATAACAATGTCGCAGCCGCATTATTGAAAAAAAAAAACTGGTTTAATTGAAGACAGTCTTGCACGCAGACAAAACTCACGATCCACTTAAATGGTTACCGACCCTCGTAGACATCAGCAATCCTAAGGATACAGTCAAACTTTTTTTCTCGGGTTTGGGGCCAAACCTCGTACGAGGTTTCCACGATTAGGGGGCGCTCGGTGTACCTATGTGGAATTTGACGGTCTGCAGATGTTGGGAGTAGACCGCGGGTCCAAGGATGCTTTAAGACCCTACCCACCAAACCCAACAAACCAACCTACCGTTCTAGATTAACTGCCGACGTTGATTAAAAAAGGGCATTTGTGACCTTTTGCGATACATAATAATATTAGGTAGCTTACATAACAGGTATTTTTAAAGCTTATACGGGCAAACGAGCTCGCAGTCCACCTGGTATTAAGTGGTTACCGGAATCCGTGGATATCAACAACGTAAATTCCGCCACTCACCCTGAAACAAAAATTGTAAGTCTATATTTAATACAACGTTGCGGTATCATTGTAATTTTGAATTTGCCTATCCCAATATCTTGTGTAAGAACTCCGCCAATACATCCGTAAACTATTAAGAACCACATCATAAAAGTCACCTAAAAAGCCCAAAACAAAATTCACAGAATGAACCGAATAATTATATCATTATGGAGTGAATTCGAAAGTCCAATGATGCTTATATTTTTTTCTTTATTTGTCGATTCTAACAGTCATTATTCTCGTACTGAGTTACTGCCACATAATAGCTATTCAATACACGATTATGCAAGCTAGGTACGTAATTATATAAAAGTTTGTCGACAAAATTAAATTTTCCATTTCACATTCGACACCCAATCAAGCGCGACGTTAAGAACTTTTGAAAATAAAAATTCGGATTCACTACATTATTTTTTATTGCAATCAACATGACTAGGGTCGCCACCTACCTACCTACCTACGCGCACCTGTGTGCTGGACTAAGATTGATGACGTCATTCATTTTTTTGTAGCTATGAAATCCATTAACAACTTAGTAATAAGTAACTTGTGCAATTGAGTTAAAAATTAACTAAATCATCTTACGTATCAAAACTTTTCAAATCCAAACTATTATGTCCAATTATGTTGTTAAGGACTTTGAAACGAAGTTTTATCTCTTGCAACAGAACTCGGCCCATTTACTGCTACATCTTGTCTATGTCAGCACGACAAAAATGTGGCACCTTTAACAATTTAAAAGTTTGGTCCCTCACCCAGCTTAGAGAGAGGTAAGGTTCACCGTAACCCGGCAACAGTAAGACTAGTATCCGTAGAAAATATCCTTCTTTCTTGCAAGAGCGTCTTTCATTCAGACATAGAGATGTTAAGGATCATCTCTATGGTAATAGTGATGACAATTATTATGTATTCATAAAGATGAATACGCTAACATTGCATATTATAATTGACGGCCTCTATACCTAAAGCTACGTTGTATCGTAATATTGACCAAACAAATGACTATTTTCAGGAAACAAGGAATCTTCGTCCGCGTGCTTACACGCCGACTGCATACAACGCTCTGCCCAGCGGCTTCCGTCCAACACCTTCCCTGGCTGAACTGGCTGGGTACCAACAACGGCCACAACAGCAGGAGCAGCAAGAATACGTCGTACCTACCAGGCAGCAACAGCAAGTTTACATCGAAGAGCCTCGAGCGCCCGTCAGAGCTGTCCAGAGAAAGGTAAGGTCATAAATCAATAATCACTATAAAAAATTATAATTTATTAGTGACAATTATAAGTTACGTAAGTTTTAATTGTTCTGCTCGTGGCGTTTAAGTTATCTATTAAGTTAAGAAGCTTCTCACGCTACTTTTGTAATTCTAATACACATGTAAAATGAAACACGAAATGTTTTGTATCGGCATAATGGTAGTCTCCTTCCGACCCATGAGGCAATTAACCTACAATGTACTGCCGTTATGAAAAATAAACGTAATCAAACTTATCGATAATCTTCAACTCTATTCGTTTTTTAGTTATCTGCGAAGGATAAAATCGGACATTGGTATAACCAATTTAATAAAACTGTTTAATCCGATATGTCTGTACCTTGAAGAAAAGTAATATTTGATGACGAATGAAGAGATACAGAAAACAAACTAACAATCTTTGGACTTTTTTTCTGTTCGTTTATTGGCGCACGTCTTCTGAACTACTGAATGAATTTTCCAATGATATTTTTTATTAATTTGGACCAGAATATAGACTTTACTTCATTAAAATGTTGCTAACTCTATTTACTTTATTACGTTTTCACGCTCAAACCACAAACTGATTTCCACGAAATTCGGTATAAACATGGCTTGAACTGATATAAGCAATCGATCAGGATCTGCGATTTAAAGTGTAATCCACGCACAGGAGGCTACGGGCTGATAGCTAGTACAATAAATAAATGTTTTACAGCCTCAAGAGCAAAGACCATTGAAATACCAACAACAACAACTCCAAGAAGTCGAAGAAGAACTAGAAGACGAGAAGGAGGAGCCCGACCGTCTCTCTGAGCTGCTCCAACAGTCAAAGTTCAACTGCGTCGGCAAACAGACCGGCTACTACGCTGACGAGGAACTTAACTGCGAAGTGTTCCACTACTGCCAGGACAGCGTCAAGCACTCCTGGATCTGCCCGGACGGCTTCACATTCCACCAGGTAAGAATATTTTGTAAACGGATAGAGTCGAAGACTGGGCAATGGACATCGGCTTAAGTATTAGGTACGTAGATCTGGTCCATTGGTGTTGTCTTTCGTGTCGAAACATCACTTAATGCAGCTCATCTTGAGGCATGAGGCGGTAGTCTCAATAATATATTGCTATGCGACCCTTCAAACTAAAACTGCTAAAATAACTATATTTGTCTATTCAACTAGGAACATCCAGTATAAATAGGATATTCTTTGCGTCGTATTCCTCACTGCTGAGGGTCGTTACCACCCTTTTGTATCACCCTCGCATGCACGATCTTTCTCCATCTAGGTCATCCTCTTTGGCGGTGTGGAGGGCGTCGTGAAATGTGGTAACAAGAGCGGTGTGGATCTGGTCGGACCAACGTATTGGGTTGCGACCTCGAGGTCTTTTCCCATCCACTTTACCGGTTACAATGAGCCTCTCGAGATTGCTACCATCCTTTCTTGCAATATGACCGAAGTATTTAAGGACTCTGCGAAGATATTCTGATTAATAGCATACCAGACCTTAAATGGCCAATTACCATAGACCAAGTTAAGACAAGATTCGCTGCAATCGTTCGAAGCCTTGATTTAAAACAATTGCCAAACACATGAATCACAACGCCGTGTGGGCATCGACCTTCAATAGAAATTAACAACTAGTTACTTGTTATTCATTTACATGCAACAACTCTGCGACTGTACAATTAGGTATCGGTTGTGTAATAGAATCGAATTGATAGTTTTTTTGTTTTTATAGGCTTATTAACTGTAGATCATCTGTGGACGAAGACTTGATTTCATTTTACTAAAACATAGATCATAATTTGTAAATGGCATATACTTAAGAGACAAAATCGAAACAGTTTTTTGCTTCTAAATTTCTATCTAAGCGAATTTGTTCGTGGTAATTATTTAAGAAACGCATAAAATTAAATAAATGAATACATTTGAGCCAATTATCTTATTAATTAAAATATAAATTTGAAAAATTCGAATCAGTAAGGACAGATATCTTATTAACATAAAATCAGAGGCAAGTTGCTATTTATACGTAAAACGATTTGTTTTGTTCATCTGTTGCTTCATATCTCTCAGTAATAATGTTACATGTATTTATTACATTGAGCATAATTTTTATAACCTCTTATGGCTGATTTTTTTATTCGAAATTTCAGTTTCACTTTTACTCTGATGATCCAGAATCTGTCTTCAACTAAAAGATAGCATACTATTGTGTGATAGTTTTTCTCGATACACGTTTGTTTGAAAGAAATCGTTCCAAGCAGGCAAGGCAGTTGAAACATTAATCCTTCGCAATAGGAGATATCTTCTTTTTATGATGGGTAGTATTTAATCCTACAACTGTGCACGATGTATAGTCATGACAGCGTTCGCTCCCTTTTAGACGTGTGCCTATTGAAAGTATAGATTGGATGGTCAAATACAAAATTGGCAAAGTAATTTTACGTTGCAATCTCGGATTTGGTGCCCACGTGAGATATTCTATCAAAATTAAATTATGTTGTGTAACATTATGCGATGAGACAACTATAGGTATAAATAATATTACAGCAAAAAACGACCATTAAAATTTTTTTTATTGCCCTTGTAGGCAGAAGAGTATGTGCCCACCTGATGGTGGGTGGTTACTGTCGCCCATGGACCTCAGCCTAGCCAAGAGCAGAGGCAAGCCGCTGCCTACCTATAAGCAACAATATCCCCTCGTAGCGGCAGTCACACGCGTCCTGTTCCCAGGTGCACCTGATCTGCATGCCGCCGACGCACGACAACATCTGCCAGAAGTCGTCGAAGTACCACTTCGTGAACGAGTACCTGTACCGGCCGGTGAACCAGGACGAGGTGGACAAGAAGCCCAACGTGTCCCTCAAGTACTCGGACCGGTACTACCCGGCCGAGGTGTACAGGGACGACCGGTACGAGCAGGACGAGGAAGAGGAAGAGGTCAGACATCGACTTTCTTACACTTTTCGAGCGAATCTATACTAATACTAACTGACCCGGCAGACTCCGTAGTGCCTCAATCGGTAAATAAAAGACCTAAACTTTTGTATAAAATATAAACTTGAAACAAACAAAAGGAATCCGTCCGACGGGGGACACATCAAAGGGAAAAAACAAAATTGTTATTTTTATTTAATTCCGAGCAATATCATATTTATCTACATTTTAAACCTTCTCTGGACTTCCACAAATAGTTCAAGATCAAAATTAGCCAAATCGGTTCGTTCTCGAGTTTTAGCGAGCTAACGAACAGCAATTCATTTTTATATATATATAGATAGAAGATAGATTATAAAGCTGAAGAGTTTGTTTGTTTGAACGCGCTAATCTCAGGAACTACTGGTCCGATTTTAAAAATTCTTTCAGTGTGAAGGCTATAGGCTATAGGCTATATAACATCATGAGACCGATACAAATCGAGCACCAATAAAGAATGTTTCAAAATATTTTCACATTCTACGTAAATGAACTGGAGGGTAAAATTTTGCGTTATGCCAAAGTAACTATTCCACGCGGACGGAGTCGCGGGAAAAGCTAGTACATCATAATTTTCTGTGTATACAAAGTTATCGGAAAGTATATTTAATACTTAAACCGAATTGTTCTATCCAGTTTTTTTTTACATATAGACAACAACAATGTATGAGCAATTTCGTATTTTCTAATCTACTTTTATCATGAATATTGAATATGAGAAAGTATTTAAGTTTGTTCTCCGATTCCAATTTACTTTCACGCTCAGCTTAGCTTTAATGTAAATCCTATCAAATACAAATTCGCAATAATGTCAGATAATAGTGTGTGAAGTGTGATGATAATTTCTGATGCTCGTCTCACAGGAAGAAGCCCCTCGTCGCCACCCTCAGCCCCAACCTCAGCTGCAGCAGCTCCGCGCGTCTCCGAGACCTCAACCTGCCCAGGTGTTCAGGTCGGCGGAGGAGGTGAACATTCCTCTGGGCCAGAGACGTCCCCAGCGTCCATACGACTTCGACTTTTAGATTCTCACAATACAATCAAATCTTTAGTGATATATGATATTGTTATTTTTTGTTTTATCGGTTTAAAACGATAGCAACAATCGCTGTGTTCTCAACACTCTCTTTCAAAAGCTCCTTGTTGGTTGTAATTAATGGGAATTTGTAAATAATAAAATCCGTAGTGTATAAGTTAAATATCTTATTTATGTACGTTATTGAAAGATTTGTTAAGTTACAAATTAGTTTTAAGCTAGTCTTTTTGTATGATTTGATTAAGATTAAATAAAATTTGAAACTATATAATTTCAGTTTTATTGTTTTGAATTAATGATGGATGGATGTGAGAAATTTCATAAAGAAAATTTGGAGTATCCTGACATAGATGTGACTGTGTCAAAAGGAACAATCTAAAGCATCATTAAACCACGAATATTATAGAAAGCAGCTCATAACATTTTTGCAATACAAAAATACAACAGATACATAAATGATTTGTTTGAAGTTATGGAAATGCATAACTAGTAATAAAATCTGTAATGTTGATCGCAAATAGAATCTAGTTTATCTGTGTTGTTCCCCTCATCGTCGGTGTTGTCCGTCACCGCCGAACTTACCATTGCGTGATCGTTGGTCGTTCTCGAAACTTCCGAAGATAAATTTTTGAGGCCCATTGCTTCAAAATCGCTAGTCGTTTCATTATCTTTATCAATGACCTCATCTCCAAAACATCCCTTTGGGTTTTCATTTTGACTACTCCCCATTACACCAAGATCTTCTTTTCTGCGTTTACAGCACCGAACCCTTTGTTTTCCACTCCAAGAAATTAGGGATTTCCAACTAGACTTCGAAGTGTTTCTCTGAAGAATTGGATTTGATGTGTTTGAAGGATCTTTATTAACATTTTTTTCCACAGTGCTGTCTGTACACGGTGTGTGTCGGTGTCTACAACATTGTTTCGTACTTGAGTTACTCGAATGTTCGCTCATATCCTTAGATTTTTTGCGACCCAACACTTCCTTTTTTTCTTGTGACTCTTTTACGTCATTAGTCGAAATTCGCTTGGCAACATCAAGATTTGAACTAAGTTTTTTATTCCAACATCTTAGACTTGCACTACTGGGAAGTTTTTCGGCACTGCGTTGACTGCTCTCTGAGGTACTATTCACCATATTATTTTGATCATTTTCAATCGATTCCATCTCTAGTTTCGGTGTCGTTTCCATGTTACAATTTTCAAAACTTATATCTGTGGTTATTATAGGACTTGTACTTTCTTGAGTGTTATTAGAGGATTTCACATCCAAATTTTGTTCAAAGACATTATCATAAGAATTCTCCACTTTACCATTCTTTTTTAATTCTTCATCAGAATCTTGCACGCTATCTTCTTTTTTTGCTGTAGTTGGATCTTTAATATTATTTTCAGATCTAAAGTCTTCTAATATCTCATTAATTTTATTTTGAGACTCTTCTATAATTGATGCCACTGACTGTTTTTGATTATTTGAATTATGTGATTTTGTAACACAGCAGAGATTAGGTTTTGAATCCAAAGTGCTATCGTCTAAGTTATTCTTATTACTACTCAAAGATTTAGTTAGGTTTACCTCATTGGATTCATATTTGTTTGTAGGAGCATATTGGAATGGAATTTGTGGATCTTGTGTGAGAATCTCGTTTTTAATATCATCATCAGTTGAAGAAAGATCATTGAGATCTGTGCGTTGTTCTGTATCATTTAAAAAGTTTTCAGGAGTAGAGTCAGTTATATTATTATCAAAAACACCTTCATACAAACTCTCCTGTTTTAATCTTCTTATACATTCTTTTTCTCGTTGCTTCCTTCTTACATCCGCAAGAGATTCACAAATTATATCTGTTTCCATCTTTATATCAGCACAATCATATTGGCTCTCTCTGAAATGACATTGTTAATTACATTTTTAAATCTAACAAATATAAATATTTTAACAGTTGCTCCATTCTTAAAATTTATTAACTTACTTAGTCTGAAATATTTCTGAAAGTGAAAGTAAACTTATATCATTATCTCAGTCTAGTAAAGTACATATTACATTAACTAAAAATCTTTTCAAATTCAAATTACCTGGTATTTGAAATATTGAGGTTACCATGTCCTTTTTGACTTTGGAAATGTGTTCCTTAATCCTTAAACAAATTTTGTATATTGTTAATCCAACCATAGTATTTCCAAAATATTACATTTTATTCAACCATACCATATACATAACCTCCCATAGGTATACTTACTCAGTCACGTGGAATAGTTTATCAATCGTTTTTTTAACATTTAAATAGTTTCGAGATTCCTTTGGTACGCTAAAAAACACATAGTATCGTTTACTATGAGACGACTAATTAAACTTATATAAAATAGCATAGTTTTGTCAACCTATGAAAAAATATTAGTCCCTCTAGTTTTCTGTACCTACATTTTTATTTACTTTTTTAATACATCAATGTATTTACTGATCTGTTTCTCGATCTTATGTTGTCAAGAATATGTTCATGGGAATATGTCTCACTTGGTTCAAGGGATGTACCGCTATTGTATTCGTAACTGTCAATTTGAGCCCAACAGAAATTCAACGCTTACATCCTCCCAAACGAGATCAGTTAATTCGATTTATCAACAATTTGTCATAATACATCTATTAGATTTGGAATCGTTTCAGATGATTTCGTCGTCTTGTTTTTCTACCACCACTACTCTCAACAGTTAGTTGTTTCTTGGGCAATGTCCTTCTTCAAACGAGCTTTGACTGAAAATCTTCGACAGCTAGGAAAGGCTGAGCTGCTTCGCTGGTACTGCTATAAGTATAGTCTATAAGTGAAGGTGACAGCTCACCGTTTTCTCGACTATCTACTAATGCAATACAAATGCTATTTTAATACTGTTTTAGTCTAGAACTACAAATAAAATAGTAAACGTACTCCTTATAGGATGAAACTTGTAACTCGACACCTTCTATGTCACACAGAATGCTTTCGTCTGGTGATCCGAACAATATATGAGAATAATCTCCTATAATAAAATCTCCATCGTAATTAGTGTCCGATTGGGTGGAAACTGAAATCAAACACGAAATATAATATTTAATTATCCAAGGTCAAAATCGATCTATGAATAGGATTACATGCTAAATACGTGCATCCGCAGTGCGATTCCAGAGATCATTTTTGCGACATACCATCCAGCTTTGGAATGAGCTCCCTTCCACGGTGTTTCCCGAGCGTTATGACATGTCCTTCTTCAGACGAAGCTTGTATATTAAAGCCTCAGAGTATTAAACGTAGGCAGCAGCTTGGCTCTGCTCCTGGCAATGCTAACGTCTATGAGCGACGGTAATGACCACGGACGACGTATGCCTGATCGAGCAATAAAAATAAAAAAAAAATACCTGAGCAATAGTATTGTTCACAAGTTCGATCAAGCCATAAGTCTTTGGGAGCTACTATATCCTGAAAGATAATTGTATACATTAATATTGGACACATGTATTCGGCACACAGCTCTGTGTGCTTAGTGCGAGTTTTTTTACGATCTCGATATCGTAAAAGATAGCTCACATTTGTATGCAGTTGGAACAGCGCCCCTAGCGGTAAACGTACGCAAACGTTCCAACTCCTTACAAATTTGAGAGTTAACTTTTACGTTATCGAGTACGTTAAGAAACTCGCATTGTTGAGTTAAGCTCGCCATTTTATAACTTTTCGCAATTATTATATTGTATTAACTGTGTGTACAATAAAGAATAAAGCATACTGAACTGGTTGTCTGAGTCCTACTTTTGGTTTTATACCCTTCAATATTAAAAAATCAATACTTTTCCAACTTATTTTAATATACAAAACACACCAAATTTCATTATTATAAGGTTTAGGTAAAGTGGAAATAATTAAAGCAATCACATCATCTAGATACATGTTACCTTTTTAAATTATTAAATCTTAAAATATATCTGTGACGAATCCAGTAAGATATTTTTAGCTAATTTTATTTAAATTACTAGAAAGACTACTAGAAATAGCAAAAAGCTATAACATGACGTGTTTAGTCTGGATCTCATTCACGAAGCATACGGCTAGCCCGGCTTTTGGAGAAAACCAAGAATGAATTTTACAAACGTGGCCATAAGGTCTGTGTGTTAAATCAATGAAAAAATACCTTCTCTTGCGTTACGTCTTCGCTAGTTTCATGGCCCTCGTCTGCGATAACCATGCTTTCCTTCATTTCTTGTATGACCGCTGTAAAACTATACAGGATATAAATTAATCGAGTCCGTAAACGGGGTTAATTCCTAATCTAAATGGAAACGTGTGAGTCCAGTATTCATAATTTTCTAAACCACTAGGTCACATTACTGTTTACTTTACTTTTTTACTGGTAGGTAGGACCTCTTGTGAGTCCGCGCGGGTAGGTACCACCGCCCCGCCTATTTCTGCCGTGAAGCAGTAATGTGTTTTGGTCTGAAGGGTAGGGCAATCGTTGTAACTATACTGAGATCTTAGAACTTATATCTCAAGGTGGGTGGCGCATTTACGTTGTACATGTCTATGGGCTCCAGTAACCACTTAACACCAGGTGGGCTGTGAGCTCGTCCACCCATCTAAGCAATAAAAAAAAACATTAAGGAAAAACGTCAAAGTACTAATTACACTTCAAATTGAGAAAGGATGATATCTAGGATCCACAGAGCAATTACGACGCTTACTTTTTTTCCTGAGTCCTGTTTGTGATGAAGAATTTCAAACATCCTGATAGACAAAACTCAGGGCCTCTTTCTATCACTGAAAATTTATTGTGAACATTAAAATTATGACAACTTTTGTATTTGCATAGCAATTGGTAAATAGTATGAGTAATCTCTAGTCATCACGATAATTCATAATTTTCACTGCTTGTATGTTGTCAAACGCTTGATAATTAGAAAAAAAAATCGAGTACTCACGTATTGCCCGTCCTTTTTCGCTCCTGTAAAATTCGGATTCTATTTTGACGGCTTCGACAAGATTCGGCGGGAGAACACCGGCTGGCTTCGAATATCTTTTGATACGAAGGACGTGGAGCAAAACTCGCAGACCCCACCAATCATATCGAAGTACTTAGTGAAAACAAAATAAGCCTGAATACTATCAATGTACTCAATCGAGAGATAAGGAACGGAACATGAATGCCAGGGAAATTTTACAGAAATTGCTTTAATATTTTTGTAAATTTTGTTCACCCTCTTTGTTCCGTTCTCTCTCATTTAGTACGCAAGTAATACTGGAACCGCCATGCGTTATGCGCTATTCGTTATATGGCTACGCCGTATTTGCCAAAATAATTTATCTAACAATACAATAACAAGAGGCGGTCAGGTAGCTTCTAAATATCCGTGAACAAAGTTGACAGTGAAGTCCTATACAGTGAATAAAGTTGTTTTTTTCCTGCCTAATCTGATAGCCTTGAGAGGCTATTTCAGCGTAACCTTAACTAGTAGGTAGAATCTACCACCGAATCAGAAACGCGACCCACTGAGAAGATCCGGCGAGAAACTCAGTGGGCTGTGTCTGTGGGTTAATTTACTCATCGAGCCCTTCGTCACAAGCGACGGGTTCGACGAGAACGATGACCGGGACAGTTGCAGTAACTATGATTGCGAGGTTACAATTTAAAACACGTATACGAGTATACGGGTCCGCCTGGATAAGATACATACTAAAGAAAATTACACCTGAACTCAATCGAAACTACGATAAAAATCTTTACAACAATTAATATTAATTAGTTGTTTCATTGTCGATGTCAGAGGTCTAGTGCGGTCGCTCGTTTAGAGTCTAATTTCAAATTAAAACATTATCTTACAAAACGGTAGCCTCTTCTTAGGTAATAACGTGTTTCCTTTGCAAGAACACCGGCAATCTCCTGTTGGACAGACACATTTCAGCGCCAAGGGTGCTGTCCAGCTGACTGGCTCCAGCGGCAACGGTAAATTAATCTAATGCAATGTTATTAGGTACGTTAACGAAGATTATAACTTAAACGTTTCTGGTTAGCATAACCAATAACAACAGAGACTTTAGGCAAATCTTCGTTGATAATTTAACACATACTCATTATTAGAGTTAGGACTCAGAACTAAATATTCCATTCTTCTCGGAGTCGTACCACCGCCGAACAGGAGACCGGAGGAGGGCGTTCGCCTAACTCGAGTGGCTTAACTTGGCGCTATACCGCGGACGGAGACCGGCGTCGCTGGACGTCGACGATGGCCTCGACGGTTGGGCGTCCTCGGAGTGGCGCCGAAAGTCTGGTTGTAGTGTTGACTGCGAGAACCCATCTGATCTGTCTGGGTTCTGACAGCGGGCGAAGATCTAACGTTGTGTTAGAAAGCGCAAGGGGAGTCGCTACCCACCGGTAAGCCGCTCAAAATAGCCTTGGGTCCGCGGCCCGCCCCTAACATCTGCAGATCGTCAAAACCACATACCACGCGCGCCCCCAGGTCGCGTAAACCCCTTGAATAATATTCGCAACTTGCTCAAATATCTTTACATTCATACAACAAAGGATCATTAAAGAACAAGGGATTTATTTATCAATAAAAATATTTTATTGCTTAGATGGGTGGACGAGCTCACGGCCCACCTGGTATTAAGTTAAGATTTACTATTGCCCGCTTAGAAGAAATTAATGCCTCTAGATTTACCTACATAGTTGCATGGCTACACCGTTTTAGCTTTTAAGGCCACGAAAGCTTTATAAAATATTTAGTCGTGTCATTTCGTAAACTAACCACCCTGCTTATTTCTGCCGTGAAGCATTAATGCGTTTCGGTTTGAAGGGTGGGGCAGCCGTTATAACTATACTTGAGACCTTAGAACTTATATCTCAAGGTGGGTGGCGCATTTACGTTGTGGATGTCTATGGGCTCCAGTAACCACTTAACACCAGGTGGGCTGTGAGCTCGTCCACCCACCTAAGCAATAAATAAATAAATAAACTAAGAGACAAGCCATTTCTTAAATGTATAGGTTGGATTAAAATTATAAGCAGAATATGTAACTTACATAAGGTGCGAAATGTTTCCTTTCACAAACTTTCCTGCGAGATAATTTCCTTAGCTTGTTAATAGCTTTGTGAAGTCTCTCTTCTAATTCTTCAGTTGTTTTGGAAGACTTCCCAAACTGTTTCTCGTGCTCCTTTTGAAACCACTCCCTTTCAGCTTCAACTTTTCTTTCCAACCAATCCGTCATTATGTTAATATGTTTTGAAATAAATTTCTCATAGCTAATTTCGATCACTCCTGTAATTTTCTAAAGTCACCTTAATATGATTGTGATATTAAAGCTGTATTTGGATATTCATCGATCTATCTAATAATAAAAAGGATTGTAATCACCGCACTAAAATGATATCAGTAAATTTGTCGAATCTGACCTGTATACATAATGCGTATTGTGTATTTTATGTGTATTTTATAGGAAACTGACGGACTGTCAATTAGTTGTGTAAAAAGTTTCCCATTGAAGCTATGTTATTAATCTAATCTAGTCTAATCTAATCTAATCTAGTAGTCGTCGAGGCCTAACGGATAAGACGTCCGGTGCATTCGTGTTGAGCGATACATCGGTGTTCGAATCTCAGGCGGGTACCAATTTTTCTAATGAAATACATACTCAACAAATGTTCACGATTGACTTCCACGGTGAAGGAATAACATCGTGTAGTAAAAATGAAACCCGCAAAATTATAATTTGCGTAATTACTGGTGGTAGGACCTCTTGTGAGTCCGTGCTGGTGGGTACCACCACCCTGCCTATTTCTGCCGTGAAGCAGTAATGCGTTTCGGTTTGAAGGGTGGGGCAGCCGTTGTAACTATACTGAGACCTTAGAACTTATATCTCAAGGTGGGTGGCGCATTTACGTTGTGGATGTCTATGGGCTCCAGTAACCACTTAACACCAGGTGGGCGTGAGCTCGTCCACCCATCTAAGCAATAAAAAAAATAAAAAACAAGAAAATAATGAGCAATTACAAATCGCTAATAAATTAAGTAGCGGGAATGCAGTTGATACACAACACAAACATTTATTTAAAATATTTAAATCTTCAATTTTACATTTGCTACATTTAAATAAAATAAAAATTTCTTGACGCAGACTAGTATGATTCATTGTCACTAACTGAAATATTATTATCGTTTTGATCTATTGGATCCAAATTGGTTTTATAAAATGTTTTCTAATTTTTACAAGGACTACAATCAATTTCATGATTAGACTGTTCATCCTTGAACGACACTTTGTATTTCAATTTGTCTGACGATTTTTTAACGGAGAATCTTCTAGATTTTATCTTTTCTGATTCGAAACCAGATGCTTCATGAGTATTTATAATATCATCATTAAGTAATTCTACAGATTCTTTGGAATTCGTCGTTGGAGATATAATTTTTATTTCATTATTAGTATCATCCGTTTTCCTTGACATATCCGGCTTAGGAATGCATCTTCTAGTTTCAGTTTTAGAACTTTGTTTATCACAAGCGTCTGACAAATCTATATATTTTAAATACTTCCTGATTGAGCTTTTGGCTTTTTGTAGTTTCTGCCACGTTGTTACTTCAGGGTCTTCATTAGATTTTTTCTTGGTTTTTTCTATTCGTTGACCGGATCTTTTACGGCTACACGATGTATAGTCATGACAGCATTCGCTCCCTTCTAAGTCGACTTTAGACGTGTGCCTATTGAAAGTATAGATTGGATGGTCAAATACAAAATATGCAAAGTAATTTTACGTTGCAATCTCGGATTTGGTGCCCACGTGAGATATTCTATCAAAATTAAATTATTTTGTGCAAAATTAAGCGATTTAATGTAATGAGACGATTATAAAATATTTTACTGTAAAAATCGACCATTTCAATTTTGTTATTGGCGTTGTAGGCAGACGAGCATACGGCCCACCTGATGGTGAGTGATTAGTCACCCGTGAACTTCAGCAATGCCAGGGACAAAGCCGAGCCGCTGCCTACCGTAGGTATACTGTAATTGTTATAGACCAACTAAAACCATTTTTACTTAGATGTTAATGATGATGCCCACAGACATAATCGTAGTCTCGGAACCACAATTGAATTCCTATGAATCAGGACACGTCATTTTTGTGGCAGGAATAACCAAAACGATAGTAACAACCTACAAAGGCTATGAAGTTACACACCATACCACTAGTGATCGAAATAGAAGTAGGTAATAGATAGATAGTGCTTATAGACGCACCTGTAGCCATCATCTGGTGCCTAGCTTGCTATCGAATAAATAAAAACTATTAAATAAGAAGTGGCTTTTCCTGCAATTAACTGCATTTTGTCAATACGCTATCAACGAGGGGAATGCAGTAGTCGTTTTGAATACTTACTTTGCGCTGTATTTATCTGCAATAAAACGTAAAAATATTAAATAGATTGGACTTATTAATATTTCAATTACATAATGGGAAATTGTTTTACCTATCATCACGGAGATTGACGAATACAATTCTTTCATTTTGTGAAGGTGTTGTTTCATTCTGAAAATTGATTAATGTTTCAAGCTTTATATAATGAGTAAAACAGGTTAATGTATTTTTCAAGATATCAAATTCGTCCTTTATTATTGTATGCAAATCAGTGAATATTCATATCGGAATAAACAACATATAACTTACTCATCGACATGGAAAACTCTGCTAAGGCTAAAAGCGCAAGGATCTGGAGGCTCTCTGAAATCAAAGTATTTTGTTTCAGTGTCAGTTGTAGTGGAACAAGCTAAATGTAATTAGTTCAGATTACATTGCGCATTCGTTTCTCCTGTGTTTCGTATTTATTATCTAAGTCAGCTATGTGAAAAAGCGTGCTAGCTGTATATGGTAGTGATGCACATTAAAAAAATGAAAATTATTCTTAATTTTTATTTATTTGATATGCAGCACGCAATGCAGTCAAAAAGTCAGCTAGCATGGAGTGCGTCCACAAGCTATTTTCCCTATACTTCTTGACAAATTAATATCGATTTATATCATAACTAGCTGTACCCGTCCGCTTCACTGGGCATTTCAAATTAACATTATTATTTCTCACCCACGTTCATCATTAACGCCCCCGCAACTGGTGTAGGGAGTCCAACACTCATATAAATATTGGCCTATCCATTAAGTAGGTACATGTATTTTCTACATGGATACCAAGTTTCAAGTCAATCAGATGCACGGTTCAGTAGTTATAACGGAATATCCGTAAAACCCACTGTAAATTTATATATTAGTATAAATATTGCTTAATTTTTATTTTGATAAAATTTACACATGTCTAGAACTTATTGCGCTGCATTTTGTTTCATTACGATACTCAAGATCAAGTCTGGATGAATATGGAATTTTAAAAAATCGTGCAGTACAAAATTCGAAAATCAAGGATGTCAATTCCGTAATTTAATCTATAATCTGACACTTTCGTACTCATTGTAAAATGATATCTGCAGTTTCTTCCCGTCCATGTCACTCATGAAGGTATTCTCTACTGACGCGTACAGGACGTGAGTGTAATCTCCCATTAATAATTCGTTGGATTCTTCATCGTTGTCAGTTTGCGTTGAAACTAAAATAAAAAATCAAAACACTTTTATCGCGCGTTCATTGGTTAGTAGGGTAATCTGTGAACTAACGCAATAGACCTTATATCGCGGCAGTTACGGTTCAATGTCCTTATTTTGTTCATATCTAATTTAAACGAATATTAAAACACAAACCAGTACACGTGAACCCATCACAATATCCTTCGGTGTCCATCTCATCTGGTACGTCAAACTTCGTACCACCGCTCTGTAAAAATCGCTCTAGCATGAATTGAAAAATCTGTCAAGTTACATAAAAATGTAGCGTTTCTACACATTAAAGTTAATTTGGCAATTATTCATGCGGTTGTAGAAAACGAGCTAAATTTTCATGGTCCACAATAAATGGAATGTAACATATACAAAGTAGGTCATTTAGAGTCGAAATCATGTCCAAGACTCAAAAACACGGAGACTCATGATGCCCTACAAAACATTGTAAGTGCGCCGATAGGTAGGTTTTCGGTAGGCAGCGGCTTGGCTCTGCGCCTGGCATTTCTGAAGTCAAGGGCGACGGTAACCACTCACCATCAGGTGGACCGTATGCTCGTCTGTCAACAAGGGCAATAAAAAAAAAAACTAGCCTCCTGAAGTCCTTCAACGTCGATCTCTTGAATTTTCGCGATTTCAGCAGCCAATCTGAATACCAATTAAGTTTAAGAAAATATGAAGTACTTACTCTCTATCGTTCTCACTTGGAGCGCCAGAGAAAGAACCCTATAGTATTCTTTAGAGTATTAGGTATTAGCTATGGAAAGTAATTTAAAAACGTAATTCACTCACACCTTAATTAAAGAAACCTCTAGTTAAATGTTTCATTTAAATGATGTTTTATATTCATTTATATACACAATATTTTTAAATTGTTAATATGTATTAAACATTGATATTTCTTAAAAAAAAGGACTTACAACGCATTCGCTTGCGAACTCGATACTAAGTATTGTAAACAACCGGACATGCAAAACTCTGGACCTTTCTGTGTTACTAAAAAAAACAATAGTTATACCGTATCAATGAGCATCAAATAATGAAAACTACGGAAACGGACAACTATTGTCCGTGACCACGAAGACTGTAATGATTTCGAAGCGTTAATTAACGCGATATATAATATAACCGTAAAAATACTTTTATCATATCCATTTTTCGCGGATCTTAGAAAACAGCCTTTAATTAATATGTAATAATAGTTTATTTCCCTCACCGCGAACAAAACAACATAGATAACATTTTTAAAAAGGACTTGTTTATGGATCCCTGGGTCTTGTCATAGCTAGGAATACCTATGTCACCAAGTCTCCACCACTTCATGGTAAAGTGAAAGAGACTATGCCACGGTAATTAGGTAGATTCCTTTATTAGACTTTTGCATCATACATAATTTATTTACATCATTCTGCGTATTTTTGTGGCGACGCCGCGACGCAGTAATGGGTTACGGATTTTAAAGATTATACAAAGGAAGTATGACTGCAGCTGTGTCTCAAAATGGGTGACAGCAATCACGTTGTGATATCTGTGGGCCCCAGTAACATAAAAAATGGCGAGCCATGTGCTCATTGTATCCAATTAGAATAGAATTAGACGTTTATCCGAGCGCCATTTTTGTTTAAATTAGTAAATAGAACAGTGAGGACGCAATGCGAAGACCGTTCAGTATACGGCCTCAACGTGTGAGGTCACACGAGCCGCTATGCGACTCATTTTTGCTGCTTGACTGAAAATTACCATCGCCTTGGCCTCACTAGATTACTGATTTACTGAATGGATTTTGAAATACATTTCTATTTTACATTTCCATTGAAGTTCCTCTTTTTTTTTTTATTGCTTAGGTGGGTGGATGAGCTCACAGCCCACCTGATGTTAAGTGGTTACTGGAGCCCAGAGACATCTACAACGTAAATGCGCCACCCATCTTGAGATATAAATTCTAAGATCTCAGTATAGTTATAACGGCTGTTTCACGGCAGAAATAGGCGGGAAATCCGCATTGACATAACTTAGAGAATAGAGTTTGTGTAGTGCAACCGGTCGTTCCGATTTTGCAAATCGACTGAACACCCTTAATCTCAAATAGGCAGATTGGTCCAAGTCTAAAATTAAATTAAATAACAGCACAATTCGTAAATTGAATTTATATGTGCTCACGATTGGCAGCTTGACGAAAATTATTAGACAGAGGAAGACAAATTTTTAAATGGTATAGAAAAACTCACGTATTATACGTCCTTTAGGACTTTTGTAAAACGCAGATTGTTTATTGACAACAGCAACTAGTTTTGGAATGAGGGTACCAGCTGATTTTGGATACTTCGCACAATGGAACAACCATAAAAATCGCTTAACACCGAACCAATATGGACACAGTCCTAAGGAAAACAGTATTTCAACATTTTCAACTTTTTTTTCTTTTCCTTATCGCTAGTAGCCGGGGCTATACCAGATTTTCAATACTGTGGCTTTTAACTACGCGTTTCTTCTCGAATACAGAGGGCTGAATACCACTTAGAGCTTTAATTTCTCTTAGTATATCGAGAAAGCGATTACTTTGAATATTAGTGTGGTCAATGAGATGCTCAACAAAATGCCCCATACATATGTATGGTTTTAAATAAACTGATGTGTCCATTAAACAAATTTCATCAACTAGTTTACTCAGTGAGAGTATTGTCCAGTGTTAAAAATCTCAGGCAAAATCGATAAATGCCATTAGTCAGCCTTCATACAGTCGACGCTATTGGCGTAATTTAAAATAATTGCAATTCATGTCATTCTCATAGAAGTCATAAACTTAACATCAAATATTGGTGTATTTAAGTCTGTATTGAATTAGTAGAAGTATGACTTGCGGTGCAACAATTAACAGACAATATTTCAGAATGTAATAGAGACCAATGTGCTTAGTGCGAGTTTTTTAACGTTCACGGTAGAGTAAAAGTTAGCTCATATTTGTATGGAATGGGATCGTTTGCCTACGTTTGCCGCTAAGGGCGCTGTTTCAACTGCAAACAAAAATGGCTTAACTTTTACGCTATCGAGAACGTTAAGAAACTCGCACTAAGCACACTGAAGTGATTAGGTATGTTTATTTAAGAGTGATCTATCCAAATAATTCAAATTCTACTCAGCGCGCTTTCTACTCAGTCGTTGAGATCTTCAGGATGACTAGGCAGGCAGGGTGCTATGTTTAACTGCTAGTGTTGCCAGATGCAATGTTACAATTTAAATTCTAAGGATTTATTCAGCAAACTTTATGGTAGGCAGCGGCTTGGCTCTGCCCCTGGCATTGCTGACGTCCATGAGCGACGGTGACCACTTACCATCAGGTGGGCCGTATGCTCGTCTGCCTACAAAGGCAATAAAAAAAAAAAAAAATAAAAAAAAAAAAAACTATACAAATACATTAGACTTACCGGAAGATAATGAAAAGTCTTGAAGCCCACATTTTTTTTATTGCATAGATGTCAGAACGAGCTCACAGCTCACCTGGTGTTAAGTGGTTACCAGAGCCCATAGACATTTACAACGTAAATGCCGCCACCTTGAGATATGAGTTCTAAGGTCTTAGTATAGCTACAACGACTGCCCCACCCTTCAGACCGAAACGCGTTACTGCTTCACGGCAGAAATAGGTAGGGTGGTGGTACCTTCCGTGCGGACTCACAAGAGGTCCTACCACCAGTATATGGATGGACTATTGTGAACTATTTTTATTAAACTTACGTCTAGGTATTTTTTGAGCTGGCAACAAATAGTTTTTCCTACACGAGCATGTGCATATCGTTGCTGGACACGTGCAGGCTAGAGCTAGTGGAGTGTCATCCCAATTTACTTGCTCTAGCATTAGTTCGCGCTGGATCTAGTACATACAATAAAATAAATTCCAAGCATTCTTCTTATCAGCCCATGGACGTCCACTGCTGGACATAGACCTCCCCCAAGCCTCGCCACAAAGACCGGTCATGCGCTGCCTGCATCCAGCGGATCCCCGCGAACCTCAATAGATCGTCGGCCCATCTTGTGGGAAGCCTACCCACGCTACGTCTTCCAGTACGCGGTCGCCACTCAAGAACTTTAAAAGGTGTGATGAAGTACAAAAGTATATCTTACCGGTGGAGCATAAAACAGTCGATCAAAAGCAATGCACTTAGACTGCCATTTTAATCCATTAATAGCCTTCTCTAAGCGCTCCTCCGCATCGTGTTTCGGAGGTTCCCCAACTTGATTGGTGTATTCTCTCTTATACCAGTCATTAACTAAATTACTTTCTTGCTCCTTTTCAGTACTGTTATTGACGTTATAAACAATTACTTCATTTCTTACATATTTCGAATTAAGTCTTCCCGAAAATCGTTTCTTTTTATTCTTTGATAACAAGCTTACTAATGATTGATATGAATCAGACATTCGTTTTGTTAGAGTTTTCCAGTATGGTAGTTGTCTACAGGATAATTCATTACTGGGGCCAAAGTCTTGGGATACTAAAAAGCTTTCGTTAATCCATTGTAAAGATTCATCATGTCTAGACGCCTCTGGAACTATAACTGTGGCCATTTTATAATTTTAAACATACATATGATTTGGTAGTAACAAATGACCTCGTTAAAGATATTAAAAATACAAGGTTAGCACGTATATTTTCTGTAACCTATTAAATAACCAACAGAGAATCCTAAATTAGACATTTTAACCACTACCTATCATAAACCATAGTGTAAGACAAAATAATTCTGTCATAAAAGATGCCTCCTAAAAATTACCAGGAAATACCATAAAATAAAATAATGGCGAATCCATGACTCCATTAATAGTCGTTATATTAATTATAAAGTTTTAGTTTAATGAAAAATGATGATTTTATTTGCCTATTTATATGCTGGTGACTAAGGGGCCATTCCAGCTACGCGAGGACGGGCAGGTGGGCTGAAGCGCCCAACCTGAGAGTGTTTTCTAACACTAGCCTTAGCAAGAGCAGTGCTTCGCAGAATCTACCGCCGGGTTGGAGTCGCGACCCACTGAGAAGATCCAACGAGAAACTCAGCGGCTTGTGTCAGGTGCTTAAAGAACCTAAAAGCACCGACAGTGGATCCGGGGAATCCAACAACCTGAATCGGATATGAACGATTATAATTATTTATAACATTAGTATACCTAATAAAGTCCTGAGACTCAATAGGATCACTCAGATCCGGCCTTAGAACGCTAAGTAAAGAAAATAGAAATAAAGAGAATGGATATAAAGCACAATAAAATGGGATGGTAACTTTCAAGAATACAAAATTGCGTAAAAATTTACAACTATACAACGTAGGAAAACTTCCTAAATCCTTTGTCTAACGCGAATTAAAAAAATATAATTTTGACAAATGACAAATTGACAAATTCGACAATGGCTCCTTTTTGTTTTGGTTTGGAAAAACTGTGGATAAACTGCAGTGATTTCAAGTGAAAAAGTTGAAGGTTATGTTTGTTTGTTTTGAAGTAGAAGTTGAAGGTGCTCTAATGAAAAATTGTGTTTTTGTTATAATTAAAAATAAAATATACTAAATTTTAACAAAGGATCGTGCTCAAATAAAAGAATTGTAGTTTTAGTACATAAAACATAAAACCATATCTAGCTCTGTGAAAAATTAGTTTGGATAACGTCGAGCTTCCAGATTCTCAATAGATTATTCACGATGTTTTTTTACGAAGAAAACTCAACGTTGAATTCTACGGAATATAAACGATATCATGAGTCGTTTATGCAGAATAACCATGGTTCAACTTTACTTCATACATTTTTATGTATATCCTTCACAGTTCAATGTGCACTTATAGTTTCTTTAATGAAGGTGAAAAATTATATATACGAATATGTAATTATAATTTTACCTTTAATATGTGCTCATACAATACTATCAAATTATATTTATGAATTGAATTTATTCACATTTCTACTATTAACCTACAAATTTAAAAATAAAATTAATTTGAACACAATTAGTAACAAGTTGAAACAAAAGAATATTTTAAATAATAATATAATTACTAGCATAACTTATGTCCGCGGGCTGACTTATTTAATAACAGTATTTTGTATATTAGCTGTTGATTTCAAATTCTTTCCTAGGCATTTAGCTAAAACTGAAAGATATGGTTATAGTTTAATGGATACTGGAGTAGGACTGTTTGTACTGATAAGTGGATTAGTCCATAAAGATTTACACAGTCACAATTTTGTTGCCATTCTAAGAAGCAATATAAAATTTGTTTCCATATTATGTATATTAGGAGTATTTAGATTTGTAAGTATTAAAAAGTTGGATTACCAAGAACATATATCGGAATATGGAGTCCATTGGAATTTTTTCTTTACCTTGGCCATTTGCAAATTAACTTCAACAATACTCCTACATTTCACAAGTAGATCACTGTTTCTTAGTATGTTTATGCTCATGTTACATGAAGTTCTATTATACAATGGACTTCAAAACTGGGTGTTCAGTGATAATCCTCGTGTATCATTGCTATCTGCTAATAGAGAAGGCATATCTTCTTCCTTAGGATATGTTGCTTTATACTTATACGGAGCCCACACTAAAACAATACTGAGCAATCAAAGTTTGCGAAAACTTGACGTTTTATCATATTTATCATTAAATTCATTACTATTATGGGTTTACCTTAAAAGTTTTGAGCAAATTATACCACCTTCTAGAACATTAGCCAATTTAACCTACTGCTTGTATTTAGAAGCAATTTTCATCACAGTATTACTATTATTGTTTTTCTTAGACATTACGATTTATGACAAAAATGAAAAGAATATATTATTTGTTCCATATATATTGCAAAATATAAATAAAAATGGTTTATTGTATTTCTTAGTATCTAACATATTGACGGGAGTTATAAACATGTCTATAAGACCTTTGTTTGTATCAAGTACTTACACATTATTAATTTTAAATACCTATATGATAGTAACTATTGTTATTACTGTATTTTTGAATAATGTGGGTATTAAATTATGAAAAACAAAATATTTAATTCAATAGGCTTTATTTTTTTTTTCTAACATTTATAATTTACTTGTCATATACAAAAATACATTGAAATTTTTACAGGACATAATTATTATAAAAAATGATTGGCGGCACAGGCAATTTATTGTGTTAACACAATGGTTACCCTTATCTATAAAATACCTCATGAACCCAGACTTTAGTTCTGAGGAAAGAACAATTAAAGAATTTCTAAACATTGGTTAGTACCTTCCATACAAACCATACAGACACAGTATTTGTTCTACACATTCTCCATTTATCAAGAACTACATTTTGTTTGAGTAGTAGTTCATATATAAAGAGTGTAATTATATGTCCAATGGAATGATTGTTTATTAATTCATTAAGTACGAACGACGAACCAACGAATTGGGAACCAGAATATTACATCATTCTCAAGTATTTCAAATAGTTTAGCTTTTCAAAGATCATACTTAAATAATAATTTTGAGATATTACAGTTAATTGTACAGTTTTCATGGCTATATGTTTTATTAATTATGTTTAGTTTCCATTTTATTACATAATTTATTAGTCTTAATAATAAATATGAATTCTCCATAGGTAGCATTTATAAATAAATAAAAATTGTTAAATATTTAATATTCCTAAGTATTTCTTTTTTTTCCTCCACTTTTTAAAAATAAAATATTAATATTTATCAAAAGGTAGATAAATAAATTTGGGTAACAAAAAATATTTACATTATTATAACAGTCTCATTTTTACACAAACATTTTGTAAAATTCTGAAAGGAAATAACAGCTGGCAAGTTCTTTAGTCTTAAATTTCTTAAACATATTTATTTTCGTTGCAATTCAATATATTTATTTGCGATAGTTACTTTACGTTTTTAGTCATCATTACGTGTTTTAAACAACTTACCAAAGTCAATATCATGACTATTGTTAGTAAAAAAAATCTACTTGTTTAATGGTGGTAGGTAGCAGCTTGGCTCTGTCGCTGGCATTGCTGAAGTCCATGGGCGACGGTAACCACTCATCATCAGGTAGGCCGTATGCTCGTCTACCTATACGGTAATAAAAAAAAGTGTCATGCCAAAGCTCACATTTTCGTTACCTACCCGCATATTATATAAGCATTGTTCAATACCTACTACTAATGTTGATTTCATATTGAGTTTCGAGTTTAAATAGAAATCTACCTGCTGTTTAATGTGAAATGGTATAATGGGTAGAAATCTAAGACAGGTTAGTAACGGTAGGTGGAAGTTTCAGCTCAACCGCTCATTGGATCTGACAATATTGCGACATATTTGAATAAGCCGGTCAACGCAAAATCTCTCAACAGTGAGGAACTTATGAAATATAGTAAAGGATTTCCGTTAAAGTCTCTTTTCTTTATAATCTATCACATGACCTTGGCACTCCATCGTATTTCATACTTGCGTATGGATTAAATTCTCGAGAATAACACCGAATAAAGATAAATTAACTATAGACAACGGAAATTAACTTGACTATATATAGAGTTATCATTAAACACAACAATATAATTTAAACAAAAGTTAATTAATTCAATTAAAGCTCAAATCAATGAGTAACCTTGCTTAAAGCTTGCTCAGAGTAAACTAATAATAAATCGAATTCTATAAGTAGGTGGTGAATATTCAAAAGTTTTGTTATTATACTCTGTCCAATAATGGCACTTTATCAGTGGCCCAGTTCATCGTTGGCTTCCTGTAACTGACCCAAGCCGCGCAGTATATTACAAAGTAGATCTGCAGTATGATGAAGGCTACTAAATAAATGAATAAGTAGGGAAACCTTCGCGACGACCAGAACACTGTGTAACGCAAGTTCTGATTGTTGTTCTCTGAAAAGACGATCAAGATATCTATTTAATACGTCCACACGTAAAGTGAAACATTGATACGCATTGAAGGGAAGAGAGAAGAGAATGGGGTGCATTCGAAGAGATCTACATTCAGCATTGGGAGGACACGGGTTGAAGAAGAGATATTCTTCTATATGTATGTCACAGAACCTCGTGAAGAATTCAGTGACATATACAATTCAATAATATTCTTACATTGTGTCAAAATACCAGGTATATTAATAAGATCTAATAAAAAAATTAGGCAATAACATTTAAACTTTAAAATTATTATTTTTTTGCCCTTGTAGGCAGACGAGCATACGGCCCACCTGATGGTGAGTGGTTACCGTCGCCCATGGACTTCAGCAATGCCAGGGGCCGAGCCAAGTCGCTGCCTACCGTTTAATATTCTCTCCACAAGCCTCGTTTGAAGAAGGACATGTCATAGCGCTCGGGAAACACCGTGGACGGGAGCTCATTCCATAGCCGGATGGTACGTACTTTAAGATGGCAACCCTGTCATGTCGTTATTTTAAATTTTACATATTGAACCATTTAAAAAAAGTAATTACCAAGTATGGCAGCACCATAACCAATTTGATCTGTGCCCATCCTATATGAACACGTAGGAACGTAAATTTCATACAAATGATCGTCTTTGGTTGACACGTTCAGGACGGCGCTCTCTGAGGTTAGCATGTGTGAGTCTCGATTGGTCAGTTTTCGACTCTGTCTGACATATTTTGCCTCGTGCTCGTGAGCGCAGAAATATATATCTGGATTTATTTCATTATTCACCTGGAATATGAAATCAAAACTGTAAAGAGGTAGCCCTGTACAAATTTATAGAAGCAATTATAAGTTTCAATACAATTGGAGTGAATTTTCTTGATTTTTGATTTGATTGATAGTGTCTGGACAGCCATCAGTAGTTTCATCAGTAGTTTCTTATAAATTGCACTAGGTGGCTGCACGATCTTACAGCCTACTTGATCATAAATGCTCCCTAAGCCCATAGATAGCTAACATGGATGCCACCACCAACCTATTATTTATTGCTTGGGTTGTTGGACGAGCTCACGGCCCACCTGATATTAAGTGGTTACCGGAGCCCATAGACAACTACAACGTAAATGCCGCCACCTACCTTGAGATATGAGTTCTGAGTTTTTACAGTACAATGGCTGCCCCGCCCTTTAAACCGAAACGCATTACTGCTTCACGGCAGAAATAGGCCGGGTGGTGGTACTTACCCCTATGGACTCGCAAGACGTCCTATCATCAGTAATTACGGAAATTATAATTTTGCGGGTTTGATTTTTATTACACAGTGTTATTCCTTCATTGTGGAAGTTAATCAGGAACATTTGGTATTTTCAAACACTAGTGCATCACAAGATATTAATGCACCGAACATCTTATCCTTTAGGCCACAACGATAGCCTAGCGGAATTGGCACAGGGTCCAGTGATGATGAAAAACACTGGGGATTTTATAGGATCCAAAAATATTGATATTAACTAAATATGTTAAATTGTAATAATATGTTAAATATATTGTATGATAGATTAATAGCTATAGAACACCCAGACACCGGTGAAACAAATCTGTTTGTCTGAAGTGAAAATTGAGGATACAGCCTTTGATGTTAGCTAGCTAGTGGCATTAATCACTGAATTGAACTTTCATGACACCCATTGCTATATTAGTATCGATAAAAAAATCAAGCATAGACAATTTTCATTCCTGGTAATAGAAAAAACCACAGTACTACTACTTACTTCATGACCAAAAGCATGTCTGTATGTAATAGGATAATGTGAGACCACAATCCTGTATTCATTGCCATTCCCCTTAAGTTTCTTTGGGAAACTGTTCGTTATACCATTGGCTTTGTAAAATGTTATATTCCGGAATGTCACAGTTTCTGGTTGTTGATAGACTTCGTTGAACTCTTCAATTTTATCTTTCTTAATCGGTTCATTCTCACCACCTATATCATTATCACCTGGTATCCAAATTTGCTGAAACAAGATGAAATATAAATGTATGTGAAGTGAGTTTATTAGTAGTGTTTTATTATGAGCTCAGAGTGGTAGAAGTAATCTGCATATTTCTGCTTCAAACCAGTCAAATTTTTTTTTATTGCCCTTGTAGGCAGACGAGCATACGGCCCACCTGATGAGTGAGTGAGTGAGTGGTTACCGTCGCCCATGGACTTCAGCAATGCCAGGGGCAGAGCCAAGCTGCTGCCTACCGCTAATAGGTTTAATGGGAGGTACAGTAATTATACAATACAATTTAAGATGGTTCTTTCTATGGGTTGCAGAACTATTTAAGAGTTGGCCTGTGTACTGATCTTGAGTAACACAAAAAGTATTATGTTGACAAAGATATTGCTATATATTTTATATTTAAGTTATATTTCAATAAATCTCACCACTATAGGATAATCAACTTCAAATATATCAGACAGTCTTTTTACATAGCTATGGTATTGTTTCAAGGTGGAAATGGAACCCTCATCCATGAGGTCACCCATGTACACAATAACGTCTGGCCTGAAGTGCTGTATAACAACTCTAAATGTTGACTTAAGGTAACTGAAAACAAAAAGCCTTACTTAAAAGAAGAAGAAAATTAAGCTTAAATATATGATTGTATTTGTTTTTTTATTGTGAATTGTAGTGGTGGTGGACCCAATTGTTCAATGCTCTTATTGAAAAAAAAAAAGAACATCACTGGTCCTGAGATATACTCGCTTAGCAAGTATATAGCAATAGGACAATCAAGAATATTACTTCTTGACATATTTAACATAATGCAGAAGAATGTATGGGATGTAAACAGTGATACCAACTTTTTTCGAGTGTTACTTAAGTTTATGTATTCTTAAAGGGAATTGAGTATGAATTCTTAAATTTATTCTAAAATGGAATATAATTTACTATCATAGGAATGGCAAGGTGAATAACACTTACTCACACTATCAGGATCTCTATGATGCACATTTATGTACAGTTACCAGATAGTTTTTTTTATTGCTTAGGTGGGTGGACGAGCTCACAGCCCACCTGATGTTAAGTGGTTACTGGAGCCCATAGACATCCACAACGTAAATGCGCCACCCGCCTTGAGATATAAGTTTTAAGGTCTCAAGTTTAGTTACAACGGCTGCCCTACCCTTCAGACCGAACCGCATTACAAATAGTAGACGCGATAGTTGTATTAAGCACACATAGGTGTAGCAAAGAATAACATAATAAGTATTACAATATTTATTGAATATTTAATAGTAGACCTGAGATCTTAGGATTACAGTGATGACTTACCGATCACTATCCCAATTAATTGGATAGCTAAAAGGTGCCGGCACCGCTATGTCGCCCTGTATCTGAGGATCTGCTACGAACAGTATCTTGATGCAAGATGAGTCGTATTCGACGCACTCCAGGGTTCTCCAATACCAGGCCTGCATCGGATATATTAACCATTCGCTATATAGTAAACATCCTATTATTGCGGCTGCGAAGTACTTCACTGTTGAACTGAAATCATTCCAGATGTTTGAAATAAAAACTATTTGATTTTATTTATTGACTTTAATAATTATCTACCACACCTTCTTTTAAGATACATGTCCTGCTAATTTTCTGTTTTTTAATGTCTCAAAACATAATAAATGTGTCTATAATATGTTATATGGGTTGTACTTTACAGGTAGGTAAACAAAAATTTTTTTTCTTGAGTTTGTCACATGTCAAGATAAAGGATTTCATTTTTAACTTGTCTTATTGGGCTGGCAAAAGGACCATAGCTCATACACTTTCAACACACGAAAAGCGAGTTAATATGAGTTAAGGAATAGACTGAAATGTAATCAAATTAATTAATATGAATTCTAATCCTCTCAACAACGTATTAGGAGTTTATTGAAATTTCAATGGGCCTTATGTAAAGACTCGATAGTTCATGCCAGTTTTACTAAAACAATGTAAACAATGTTAATAAATTTTATTTCAGACATAGTTCTATAATTGCAAAGAATTTCATTCACAGTTTTGTTTTCTGTGCTTTTGAAGGCAAACAAACACACGACTGATGGTGAGTAGTGATTGTCGGTCACGGAGGTCAGCAATGCCAGGGAAACAGCCAGTTCGCTGTTAACCGCTGAGTAATCTCCGCAAACTTAGTTGAAAAAAGTACACATGCTTATGAAAGCACAAATCACTCTCCCAGTTGTTCTAAGTAATGCGTATGAATTTTTTTTCGATTGTCGGTGATGCAATGGTAAAAACGATATGATAAAAACGGGGCCATCTTAACAAATTTCTTAGAGCAGTAACTACCTCATGTTGGACAGCTACCAGGATTACCAGGGCCGGATTTAAACTTAATGCCGCTCCTGGGCACCGGAAAAAAATCCCCCAATACTGGAATTTTACCTAAACTTATAGTTATTATATTTTATTTTTCAAAATTAAAATAACTGATTTATTGCAGAAACTATATCTTATGTTATATATGAGTCGTCTATTATCAAAGGTGGCAATCTGTGCATTTGGACAAAAAAAAATTATTGATATGTCAATACAGATTGATTTGAATATAATCGTCTCCTTCAAAGAATACGGTTCAAAACCTGTCTTAAATAAAGGTTAATAGTTAACCTGTTATTTATCTAAGATGTCGTTCCGAAGAGTTTTGTGACTGCCAATGGAATACAAAGTCAATAATTCGTTTTTCTGATTTACCAATCATTGTCCAAAAGTCAGATTGCCGGCTTTGATAATAGTCGACTCATATATGCCAAAAACATAAATATTTGTTTTTTTTTCTCAATTATAAATTTTGCACTAAGGGTGACTCATAATTATATAAAAAAAAGCTAATTAAATTTCTTTAATTCTAGAAAATGGAAAAATCGATTATTATTTTAAATGTCCAATGAAACAAATTGATTAAATCATTTTGATTATTGATTTTTACCAAAAGTGCCAAAGTTATAATTCACAAATAATGGATGAATTGAATTTGTTGAATTATCAATTAAACAGAAAATTATTAATTAATAGAAATAATAGCAACCTTGATGCCGCCCTGGGCACTTGTCCCGACTGTCTCTAGTGTAAATCCACCACTGAGGATTACTAACTAGGATTTCAACTAATCAAGCAACCAGCTAATTGACGATTTGTGCTATGTACAACCCATTTAGGTGATACATATTATATAACTGAGGACTACCACAAGCCAACCAGCCAGTATGAAGTCGTCGTGGCCTAAGGGATAAGACGTCCGGTGCATTCGTATTTAGCGATTTAGGTATAAATTTTTCTAATGAAATACGTACTTAACAAATTACAATTTGCGTAATTACTGGTGATAGGACGTCTTGTGAGTCCGCACGGGTAGGTATCACCACCCTGCCTATTTCTGCCGTGAAGCAGTAATGCGTTTCGGCTTGAAGGGTGGGGCAGCCGTTGTACTGTTACAACAAATGAGGCCATAGAACTCATGTCTCAAGGTGGGTGGCAGCATTTGCATTGTAGATGTCTAAGGGCTCCGGTAACCACTCAACACCAGTTGGGCCGTGAGCTCGTCAACCCATCTAGGCAATAAAAAAAATAAAAATAAACCATTAGTGTGCTGAATAGTCGATAAACCAATAACCGTAACTAAATTTAAAGATTTTTGACGTAAAGCGCGTTCAAAATAGTTTGCATCAATTTATTCCCTTTGATTAATAGTGTGATCGAGAAATACTTGCATTGTATAACACTCGTATTTATACTAGATTTTTGATTTGGTTTCAAAATAAATGGAAATTAAATCTTAACAATAGATATTTCTTAGAAGTAAGTGGACACAATATCCTCTAAAATCAATGTTTTGACAACATTTGCAACTATCAGAACGCTGCCTTATTTCGGCGGTTTGACAGGTCAGCTTTGAGCCACTTTTTTAGCTTCTCAAGTATTAGCGTATTTTCGTTTTTATTTAGAATATCTTTTGATTTACCTGTAATAAATANGAAATTAAAACTTAACAATAGATATTTCTTAGAAGTAAGTGGACACAATATCCTCTAAAATCAATGTTTTGACAACATTTGCAACTATCAGAACGCTGCCTTATTTCGGCGGTTTGACAGGTCAGCTTTGAGCCACTTTTTTAGCTTCTCAAGTATTAGCGTATTTTCGTTTTTATTTAGAATATCTTTTGATTTACCTGTAATAAATAATGTATAGGTAGCTTTAACCTTAAAGTCCGATAATCTTTAAAACGTCGGCAAGTGCACTTGCAGTGTTATATAAACTATAGAACGAATCATATCGGCGATCCGATGCACATAGCTACATAGTACGTCAGTGCACGAATGGTGGCTGTAAGATAATGGATGTGGACGCTCCTAACATATTGAAAAGGTGCAGCAGCGCACCTCTGATCAATGAGGCGGCCTCCACAGCGGCCACGTCGCTCACGACCAACACGACACCCAGGTAAAGTACACATTGATGCACACGCCTCTGTGGTTCTACATTATGGTTGTTGCTATGCTGCCTGCCTATTTTTGACAGCTGCTCAGGTCGTCAGTGGGTGCTGTACCCGTATTTAGCCGTGTTTGTGTATTATATATCGATCTTTGCAATCAATTTGGCATATAATGTTTTGATTAAGCATGACAGCTGTGAGACAGTTCCAGTCGAGTGTTACGACGTGTTAGACGCTGTGTTAGTGGCTTTACAGTATGTTTTCTTTTTCATAAAATGTATTTTGACAGATTTGTTCAGAAAGCAAGTATTTAGTAGTTATTAGAAGTAATTTGTTAATTGAAAATAGATTAAATAACAAAGCCTAAACTGTTGGAAGTAGTTACTTTAAAAAAAATTGGTTTACAGTTGAGTTACTTCAAAAACCAATAATATGCATTATGTTTCTATTGCCACACTGCATTATATGAAAACCAGTTTTTTTTGAAACCGAAAAGTACATATTTTATTTTTGGTTCTCTTTAGCACATTATGGCTACACACTATTACCATAACAGCTTACATGGTATGCATATACAGTTAATATTTGTAAAGATACATTCAACATAGAAAAATTAACTTTATATCTATATTTGTAGTAATATAGAAGATTATTTAGAAAAATATATTCAAAATACAAATTATAAAGAATCTCATTGCAACTAAAATCACACTTCATAAATCAACAGAAAACACTTTTGCTTAAGAGGGCAGGGTATTGGTTATATCTCAGGTTTCATCTTGAAACTTGGATTAGGGCATTTATATTATGGTGTCAATTCACTGATTTCCTCAGAGTATTTAAACCATTACATTGCAATCAGCAACCTATTTCTACTAGCAGTAGTGAGCAAAATGGATGCAATGGTAGCTATCACATTGTGGTAATAATGGGCTACATAAACAACTAATATTGGGTAGGACATGAGCTCACCTGTCCATCTAGAAAATGAAGAAGCTCATGTGTCCATCTCACCATCATCCTCCTCAACTTACAAACATCGCTTGCTGAATAAAAGCTGCCTAACTATATTATATTTTAAAAAAGAAAAATCACTAACTAAATTAACCTTGTCACAAAAAAAAAACATTATTTATTATCATTATTAAAAAAAAAAAAAACTAATAGATAAATTGCATATGTAGAACATTTTCATATTGATTAAAAAGATGATTATTTTTATTGTTTATGAATTTCTATACTTACTACAAGTCTGTTGCTTGTACCAGCTCTGTATTTTGTGGTATTCTAACTAGAAGTATCCTAATTATAACATTTGACTTGTCCTAATTAATAAAAATTCCTATCATTTTCACAAACATTTCCTGAAATAGGATAATTTCTGGAAGGCAAACCTGAAAAGTAATGAACTTCACCATAAAATAATGTTAATATGCTAAGCTAAATTTCATAACTTACATGCATAGTCATTTGATATTTTTGCTAGTGCTATGGCGCATTGTGAGCATACATCAAATTAGTATTCTTGGTTGCATATGTAATAAAAACTTCTTATACTGTTTAGTTATAAATAAAAGCTATTATTAATAAATCTGAGATTACAAATTGGTCAAATTGACTATTTCTAACCTGAAGCAATACTTTTTATTTAATATTTTATGTCAGGACAGGCTTCCAATTGTCATTTTTAAAAGACAATATGATTACAATTTTTTGTGGGAAAGCTCCCTGAAATCTGTATTCATTTATTTGTTTGCATACTCTTTGCATCAGTCTCGATTGCTAGATTATGTGATGTAACTTCAACCATCAGCTTCTCTGATATTCTTTCATCTGTTCTGACATACAAGACATACGATAAAGCATAACTGAGGTCTATTCAGCAAATTGGACCGAGTCATCTCTCCTTTTCGCCTATTATTTTTATAGTGACCATAAGCATTTGGAAGCTATCACCAGATTTACTAAGTTAGCTATGTATCCAAAGAATTGCAGATGTCAAGAACAATTTTATAGGTGTATAGTTCTATAGTTTTTCAACATGATCCTGATACTAATGAATCATATAAGTTTTACCAAAACCCAATATTTAATAAAAAAACAAGTTATTTCCACTTATGACGCGTGACACTTTTGAGATAAAAGAACACCCTAACTTTAATAGAGAAGATGGTTGGTGTTTATCAAATACCTGGAATCCTCTCATCGTAAAGATCAATGACCTAGTCAAATGAAAGCCAGACCTCCAGCTACTGTTTAAATCTGCTTAGTTTATTCTATCTGTAATTTTTACTTACTGAAATGAAACGGACATATAAATAGAATGATTTTATAAAAAACTAATCAGTAGCAAAATATTCAAATCTTGATGTATTATAATATCTTAGTCATCACTGGCCATGAAAACTGTAAAGTATTTGCAATGTCGGAAATAGTGAAATGAAAGTACATATTATGAGAGAGATTAAACAGTAAAAGGAGTTTTAATAATTTCGAATGAATTTAAATATTCTTCACAGGCATATGTTAGTAAACCTGGTAGTTGATCATGTGCAAATTTCTACCCCTTAAAATAATGTGGAGAAAATTAAATGTGAAGTAGTTAGTTTCATATTGCGTATGCTACCAATCTTAGGCATATCATTTTTGGCCTAGACCTAACCCTAGATAATTTACTTTAAGACTTAAAACATGCTGTATTGACATTCTGAATGTTCCATGGGTGGTGCTCTGAGGAATTGTTTAGGATGATCTCATCATCTAGTTTTTACTATCACACCGCCCGCCACCGGAGTAGAGTTCATCCATACTACCTGGATCCACCGAGTTCATCTACAGTGCGCTTCCAGAGATCTTTTTTGCCACGTACCATCCGGCTTTAGAATGAGCTCCCCTCCACGGTGTTTGCCGAGCGCTATGACATGTCCTTCAAGCGAGGCCTGTGGAGAGTATTAAACTGTAGGCAGCGGCTTGGCTGTGCCCCTGGCATTGCTGACCTTCAATGGGCGACGATATCCACTCACTATCAGGTGGGCCGTATACTCGTCTGCCTGTAAGGGCAATAAAAAAAAAACTTTAATCAAGTATATATCATCAGAGCTATAACTTGATTGAAAATATGTATATAAAAAAGCCCAGCACCACCAATCAGACATGGCTAGTCATTAAAAATGAGATAAAATATAAAATCGCGTGCAATGTTCCACTTAGAATCTCGATCGAGATATTTATCATCATTATCACATACAATATTCTGATTGCAGATGGTGACGTTAATGAATAAATAAAATATTTTTGAGCCAATTAACTGAATGCATTTGTTGATAACGCGTGTAGTCAAAACATAACATGAATAACATGTTTTGTTATGTAGCGTGTGCAGCGTTTAAGTGGATTTAATGAGAAGATTCAATAGCATTGTTGGTATTTAAGGTCTGTAATGTAACGGATGTCTGAGCAATTCTTCAGCGTGCGGATGAGGAATGAGAGGAATTTGGAGAATGCCAGTGGATTTGCGACTCTAGTGTAGGTTTAAGGGGCCCCTATCAATATGCATTACGCTCACCTCCTCCGCATTCTTTTCTCTGCTTAGACAAATTTATTAACAACCTATTTGTGCATCTTTACATGGTTTGTTCAAGTTTATAGAATAAGTAAGCTGACGTAAAACTCAAAGGCCATAACTACAATGTATTGTTCCCGATTGGTATGAGCCGTTGAATCCGATTAATTAAATTATAATATCAGAGGTCATACGATCATCTGATAATAATATCGAGGGGTGAAAGGCTGTTTGGTTTAAGCGACATTTCGCTTAATATGCGACATAAAATTAAACAATTCGATGTTTCTAATTGAATTTTAATTAAGTTTACTCCGTTCAAATAACTGAAGAAGTTTTGTTTTAACGATATTTTTCCGAATTTTAAACTTTCTAACCGGTGGTAGGACCTTTTGTGAGTCCGCGCGGGTAGGTACCACCACCCTGCCAATTTCTGCCGTGAAGCAGTAATGCGTTTCGGTTTGAAGGGCGGGGCAGTTGTAACTATACTGAGACCTTATAACCTATATCTCAAGGTGGGCGGCGGCATTTACGTTGTAGATTTCTATGGGCTCCAGTAACCACTTAACACCAGGTGGGCTGTGAGCTCGTCCACCCATCTAAGCCATAAAAAAAAAACTTTCAATGGATCTCCTGTAACATTTGCAAAAATGTCGCTAAAACCAAATAACCTTTCACCTCTCGATATGCAAAAGGTTAATTGAGACCGTCAGCGCAAAAGTGGCCTAAGCTTATCATAGTTAGTATGGAGATAATGAGGTTTGAATTTACTTTTACACTGCTTCGTAAGCAATAATAACACGCGCAAAAATAATGTTTAATGATATAGTTACACTATGGGTGGTTTTTCATCAACATTTATTATGTTTCAAATGAATTGCAATATAAGAGAACGAATGTGAAAAATTGTGGGTTAGGTCAGTTTTGCGCTGACGGCCATAATTACCAGCGGACACGGATACGTGACCTCGGCCACTTCTAGCTGCTGATACTTCACTACATCCTCTTAGCTCAGCCTTTCCCAAAGTGGGCCATGACGCCCCCTTGTGGACGCTGCAGGCCTAAAGGGAAGGCGGTAAGTGACCCAGAGAAAAAAGGGGCCTTTGTGTAGATGCTTGGGAGGTGATTTGTAATTACATCTAGGAGGACTCTTAGACACCGACTGAGCTGTCGATATAGTGGTTTTTGAGTAGGTGAAAAATTGGGGGCGCTAAAAAGATTTTTTTCTCAAAGTGGGCAGTAGACAAAATAAGTTTGGGAAGCCCTGACTTAATTCAATCATAGCAACAGTAGTCTCGGTTTTTTTTCCTTTTCATATTTTTAGTGCTCTCTTTCCCAATTCTAATTTTTACTGGTGTTAGGTTTTGTCAGCCCGCACGAGTATCAGACCACGTACTTTTGGCGCTGAGCATTCGTGCGTTTTGATCTTTAGAAATAGATTAGGTA